TGAATCATCTTTTCATGCTGTGTGGGGAGAAACCAAACATAGTGCAGTGGTTTTATTTCAAACTCCTGTGACTAAGATTCGGTTGTAATATTAAATGCCACTTTGAGAATCATATCTAGAAGTAGATTAAAAGATGTTTTAACAGCTCATTTGTTCTACCCTGAAGATACTCATTAAGCTTTTCTTCCTTGTGATATTTTCTTTAAAAAAAATGTATTTTTCTGAAGAAGGCTGGGTTAGATTTTCTGGCTAGCACAGCGCAGGTCACTGTGGCACGTGTGACTTCGGTCATTGTTCAGGCATGAAAATGTTTATGAACTGCACCATCTTTGACACTTCCTCTTGGGAAATTAAAACTTGGAATATTTGTGGGTTTTTTCCTCCCCACAGGACGGCTTGATCCAGCAATGTGGTGAAACAATGAAGGAAACCATCAATGCAAAAACTGTGTGTGCTTATTACAATTCAGCGGGGACGTACGGGTTAGACTCTGTGAAGAAAAAGTAAGAATTCCTTTCTCCAAGCTGCTTTGTACGTTGCTAATTAAAAGTGTGGATTTACCAGCAGTAAAATAATGCCCAAGTTAATTTTTTTTTTTTTAAAGCTGTCTGGCTTGGGCTCTGCTTGTCTGTTCAGTTTTCGGATTTCTACTGTAATCAGTTGCCTTAAGCTTGGTGTAGATGGTGGTAAATGGATACTCCTGTGCTCTGAGTGGATCAATTACTAAAGAACATCGGTAAAGACAAGATGTTTGGCCTTCAGTGTGGCAGTGAAATAATACTTGTGATCACTGACTGTTTTATCGCAAAGCTGCTTTCGTATTCAGAACTTAAGCTTAATTTTATCTTAATTAGGAGGGATAATTACACATTTGGGAGCAGAATGCTGAGGTTGGTGCTGGCAGCTTCCGTCTGCTGTGAATTCGTGTGTTCTCAGAGCATTAATAATACTTTGAATTTAGCTTTCGCTGTACCCTGAGAGAAAGTAAATGCAACTTAAAGAGTTCCAGAAAATTTTATGGTAAACTCCATGGTTTTGAAAGAACTCTTTTTCATTTTTTATGCACTCATGTCTCAGGTTAAAGCAGTATTTCAAAATTGTGCGGTACATAATCCAGCTTGGTGAGCCTGAGCAACTGCTGCAGGAATGTTGACATATATAAGAAAAAAATGAAGATATTAATTCCTTGCTTTTGATCTAGGTGCCTTGAGTGGCTCTTGAATAACCTGATGACTCACCAGAGTGTTGAACTCTTCAAAGAACTCAGGTATTGGGGCTTCAGTTAATGTTGAGTGATGAACTACAATGTCTTCTGCAGTACATAGCTCACTGCAGATGACTTTCTGGGCTGTTGATGGTTGCTTGTTACCTAGCTGACTTCCTTGTTTTCGTCTGTGCTCTCTCACAGAACCCTTATGATTATTTTTTGTTGCTTGTTACCTAGCTGACTTCCTTGTTTTCGTCTGTGCTCTCTCACAGAACCCTTATGGTTATTTTTTTCCAGCATAAACCTCATGAAGCAGCTGATCAGCTCTTCTAACCTGTTTGTAATGCAAGTGGAAATGGACGTGTACACTGCTCTCAAAAAGGTACTTGGCCGAGGGTCTGGCTGGGGCTTGGTGCAGTCGGATTCCTGAGGAGTAGTTGATTTGTAACACAATGAGAATTTGAGCCTCTTTGGTGTTTACTGAAAGTATTTAACAGAGCATCAGAATCTTCATAGGAGTGGTTGCACTGTGAAAATGTCCCTTTAACAATGCACGCGTTACTTGTTTGAAAACTTCTTCAGTTAACCCACTAGAGTTTGTTTATTTTACCTAGTGGATGTTCCTTCAGCTAGTGCCTTCTTGGAACGGGTCTTTGAAACAACTCCTAAGTGAAGCTGATGCCTGGTTTGCCAGCCGCAGGAAAGGTAGGATTCATGAGCATGTTCCCCTTGGGTGGGGGAAGACAAGGGTTGGGAGTCAAATATGAGAAGTGTTCCCCCACTTCCAAACTTTCTCCCGTTTTCTCTGGGAAGCTTACCTCTGCACCGGCAGCTTTTTCCCTGTTTTGTCTGCGTGTTCTCAGGTGAGCAGACACGGTCACTGTTTTTGCTTTGCTGCTTTCGCTGCTGTTCGGTTAGGGTAAGCTTTTGTTGCCTTCTCCCTAGAAGGCACTCATGTCTTTCCAAAGAGGAAAAGTTTGGTCTAACGTTTCTGCTGAAAGGATTTGAATGTTTGTAGTTTCTCCATTTTACCTGCGAAACGTGGTTGGCCTGTCCATCGTGGCTGTCTCTGAGCAGTGAGTTAAAACCCCATCTCAGATCTAAACAGGGTCTGGGAAATGTTCAGGAGAACAAGCTGTAATGCAGGTGCTTTGTCTTGCAGATGTTGGGGATGACGTTGCATTCCTGGAATCGGAGCAGGGGAGCGCGTTCCTGCCGGTGTTCACGCACTTGAGGTTACAGTACATCATCAGTGACTTGGCATCGGCCAGAATTGTTGAGAGAGATTCCTTAATCCCCTCAGGTGAGAGCACGCTGTGTGCCTTCCCCAGCCTGTCCTGCACGAGGGGAGCTGGGAAGATCTGGGCGCGTTCACTGCTCTTATCACTCGCGTGTTTGTCTCCAACGCCTGAAGTGTGCCTGAAGATTGAGCAGAAGGCAAATATTAAATTTACATCCTTGAGAGTCTTCATAGGCACCCGTGTGGGCGTGTTAAACATTTTGGTGATCAGTCAGTTTATCCCAATACTCTCTAACCAATACAGAGTACATTTGCTGTGTTTGTGTGACCCCAGAGCCCCAGGGACGCAAAAAAATTTTTAAGAGAGAAAACTTGCTGGGACTCAACTGTTTTGTAGCTGTTATCTTGTTAAACAGATCTGGGTAGTTTTTGACAGGATTTGGAGTAATACCTGGCCATGAAACAAAAGCACCAGATGCTGTGAACTCTTCTCACAGCCAGGTGTTATTTACTAGCAGATATTTAGGGTGTTTTTGGAGGAGATAGGATATTTACATACTCCACTCTTATCCTTTTATTTTCATTTTGACTTGTATAAAATGCATCCTCATTCTAGGTTCTGGTGCTTTTTGAAGCCCATAGGGTGAGATGCCATTTAATATTATTGTAGGTTACTGCTACTAACATGACATTATCGCTGAAAAATAAAAAGCCCCATTCTCATCTTGCTGCTGAAGTGCGAGTTCACGGAGAGGATTTGTTCTTTGCTTGGAAGCTCTAACCCTGGCTGAAAAAGGCTGGAAATGAGTTATCAAGTTGGGCCCTCGCCTGGAAATGTTTTCCACTATCACTCATATCTCTTATCACGTGAAACACCCACCTCCCCTCCTTCTTCTTCTGCTTTTTTAAAAAGATCTTTTTCTTTCTCTCCCTCCCCAGAGTCAGTTATGCTCCTTGTTACAATGTCTGGACTCCTCGTGCTCTGCCTTTGGATTTCGCTCCTGGTGTCCTTGCTCCGTGTTTCACTCTGTTCAGTGTTCCCTTATCACGGCTGGATCTCGGCATTGAATTTTACATCCCAACTCTCTGACAGTTTTTCCCTAGCTCTCATGTACACAACTTTGATTTTTTTTTTTAATATCTGTGCACAGTATAACTCTCCATTCATCTGTGTCTGTGATGTCCGTTTATAGGTGTAATTGCCAAATGCCAATTAAGACTGCTTGTACTGAGCTGTTATCGCTCTTATTCGTAACTTCCTGACAGCTGTGTTCTTCTCATCCGTCCACACTTGTAGCCTCAGTGGTCACTTTGGGCTCTTGCCATACGTAAATATTTAATGTGTCTTTGAGTCCCACTGCTGTTTTCCTCTAAAATTAATTTTTTTTTCATCTCCTATTGGCTCTTTCCTTCATACCCCTATAGATGTGAACACAAGGATGATACAGTGCCGCCCCAGACTTGTCAGGAGGTTTCTTTTGAAGCCTGCCAGCCTGAGCAAATTCTGAGATGCTTTTAAAACACTTCCCTCGCCATGAAGACGATGCAGTGAGCATCGCTTTACTCAGTTTGTCTTTCTTGTACTGCTGCATCCTCTCTCTGCCAGAAGTGATGGTTTAGTTGCTCTTTGTAGCCGAATGTCTGGATAACCTTGAGCACTTCTTTCTCACACATTGAAATATTTGGAGAGAGCAGCTGTCGGAAGCTGAATTCTGACTTTCTCTGATGGGGGTACCTGTGGGGAGGGGGTAGGGTCCTTTCCTCGCTAGAAACCTTTAATTCTCTTGAGAGTGGACAGCTGCTGCTACTGCTTAGACGTGCTGGCTTGCCCTGCTCCCTGTTCGGGCTTAAATTAAAACCAGAATAGATGGAGAGGAGAGTGTTTTCTGCACTAGTTCTGAGGAAGTGAAGTACGAAGGCCCTCGGTGATCCCGTGCTCAGAACGCCCGGTGAACAGTTCTCCCAACAGCAGGTGGAGGCAGTGCGTTGCAGACGCTGTGTCGAGCCCAGGGGTGGATGCTGGCAATGCTCTGGCCGCTTGTGTCCGGTAGATGGGGCAGGTTCTGACCTTGAGCAAGTGGTAAAATTTTATATTATGCAGAAAAACCCCGGAAGAACAGATCTGATCCCTGATACGTGATATTTTGTGTGCTTAAGTGATGCACACAGTCAATATCGTCCATTTTACTTGAGGCTGGTGTTGGTGGAGATTATAATCAAAGTGCAAAGGCATCTTTCTG